CCTCTCTCTCCCCCTCCCGCACCACCTTACCCCCTCTTTCTGTCTCTTTTCCCTCCCTCCCTCTTTTTCTGTCTCTCTCCCCTCGCTCCCTCCCACCTCTCGCTCCCCGTCTCTCTTTCGCTATCTATCAGTAGATTTTAAGTACACAAAACACCAAATTCTTATGGTGTTCCATTGGAATATGATACAATAACAAGAAGAAAACAACTGACATATTTTTGCTTTCTTCGCACCAATTGTGCCTCCTCCACAACCCAAACCCCGATGTTGACACCTGAGTACGGCTAGAGACAGCAGTCAGGTTAAGACGTATAGACGTCGACAGGTGAACAGAGGGCTCCGGCCGGGGAGGGGAAATAGGGACAATGCCGTAACAAGATAGCAGTGGAGAGGAAAACGGTCTGGGGACGTCCACATTCATCCCTGACAACAAACACCCGTGAATGTGGCTTCGTCTTTTGACTTTCTTTTCACAACGGTGTGCCGTTACGCAGTGATAACAGCCTGTTCATGCAAAGAAAAACGTCGTATTTCCTGTAATTGACGTACCCGGCATGTATTTGTGCCGGTGGTTGCATCATCTAGAGGAATATTTGTGGCTCGGAGTCGGACACGCTTTATTTTATCAGTGAGGGGAAGATTCGTTATATGGAATGTTATAATTAGAGATACATGCGTATATGTGCCTCGGTGTTTACTGAGAGACCAGGAGTGTATTACAGACGTAATAGAGGGTATCGGAGACCCAGCTTGTACAAGACGCCACGGCATGTACGAGAAATTAGGCGTGTGTTTGAGATCGGACGTGTATCAGAGACCATGTAATGTGAGACCGGGCGTGTACCGGAAATCCGGAGTGTACATGAGATCCGCATGCATTAGAGATCCAGAGTTTATGAGAGACCCTGCGTATATGGGAGAACGGGCGTGTATCGGAGACCCGTAGTTCATGTGAGACCCGGTGTGTATCAGAAATTTAGCGTGTATGCGAGACCAGATGGGTATCGGAGATCCGGAGTTTATGCGAGACTGGGCGTATATGTGAGACCAGGTGTGAATCGGAGACCCGTAGTTTATGCGAGAAAGGGCGTGTTTTAGAAACGTGGCGTGTATATGAGACCAGTTGTGTATCGGAGATCCGGAGTTTATGCGAGACTGGGCGTATATGTGAGACCAGGTGTGAATCGGAGACCCGTAGTTTATGCGAGAAAGGGCGTATATGTGAGACCAGTTGTGTATCGGAGACCCCAGTGGGTATCGGAGATCCGGAGTTTATGCGAGAAAGGGCGGGAAACGTATATGTATATGACCAGGTGTGTATCGGAGATCCGGAGTTTATGCGAGACTGGGCGTATATGTGAGACCAGGTGTGAATCGGAGACCCGTAGTTTATGCGAGAAAGGGCGTGTTTTAGAAACGTGGTGTGTGATCCGGCGTGTATATGAGACCAGTTGTGTATCGGAGACCCGTAGTTTATGTGACATCGGGCGTTTTTTAGAGACTTGGCGTGTATATGAGACCGGGCGTGTATCAGAATCCTGACGTATGGATGAGACCAGGTGTATATCCCAAACCCAGCATTTATCAGAGATCCAGCGTGCAGCGTGAGACTCGGCGTGGATGTTAGATCCAGCGTGTATGTGAGAACCGACACGTATCAGAGACCGGGCGTGTAAGTGAGACCGGGTGTCCACCAATTTGATTTATTACCCGGCGCCTATATGAGGTAATACGGTATGGCGGACTAGATTCTCAGCGACAGGTGTACTATGGCCGCTTGTACCTGGAACTGGTGCTAACCACACGGTCGGTCTTTGTAATGTTTACTGCCCGCATGTTTGATAAACCCATTTTGAATGATTTAATATTAGTCAACTGTGTTTAGCAATGAATTAGCATATCTAACTGATTTAGCCCTGTCTTTAGTTGACAAAATGAGTTCAAACAAATATCATGAATTTAAAACTTTCATGGTATGGCTGTCATGATTTTAAACGCTGCAAGATCAATATATCATATAACAAGATCGGATGCAGCAAGATTCGATTGTAACAAGAAATGACTTCATTGTTCGTGTGCATAGGGGCGGACTTCGGTTATAACAAGGTGATTTAAGAATCTCGTGCATTTCATAATAAACAAGGTTCAGTGCAGCTGTAGCCGCCCTTTTTACATTTTATTCTATTTTATTTTTTTCGTAAAACATTATTTGCTGTGTAGAGTTGTGTTTTTAGGCGTACCAGGATCCTATGCCTGGTACACCCGGATTATGTTTCTATGTTCATCAGTATCATAGCAGTGATCGTGGGTTTCTTCAAAGTGGGATACGTCTAAGAGATGTATAACTCCGGGTCTCCCTCCCACATAAACCTGACACGTCGTGATGTAACTAAAATATTACAATAAAACAAACCGACTCACTTTTTCATTCGTGATATTTGAGACTGTAATATACTTGATATTCAATGAAACACAGTGTCACGACGTTGTCCAGACTAGGGTTTACATATTAAAGGTGCGCCATTGAGGGGACGCTAGTGGACCTTTTTTATAAGGTGCCGCAATTCGCCATGCAGAGTAACCTCCCTTTGGCAAGCCAAAACTTTGGATCGTGGGTTTCAATCCCGGTTCGCTCCCTTTATGGTCCTAGATTTGTCAGCGCCACAGCCGTGTTCGTTGGTTTCATCAGCTGATAAGGGGGCGGTGGAGTAGCCTTGTGGTTAAGAGTTCGCTCGTCACGCCGAAGACCCAGGTTCGATTCCCAACATGGGTACAATGTGTGAAGCCCATTTCTGATGTCCCCGACGTGATATTGCTGGAATATTGCTAAAATCGGCGACTCACTCATCAGTTCATAAAGAGGCCAGCCTCAATTAGCAGCGTTACCCATACACACATGCTGACGATTTGGGCACCGAAGCTGTCTCGGTTACCCGTGCAAATGTAGAGCACTGCCCCATGTCTATCTGTCAGGTCGCAACCATATGTCTACCAATGGCTCTGTGAGTGAGTGAGTGAGTGTGAGAGTGAGAGAGTGAGTGAATGAGTGTGAGAGTGAGAGATGAGTGAGTGAGTGAGTGAGAGTGAGTGAGTGAGGGAGCGAGTGAGGTTCTATGCCGCTTTTAGTGCTATCACGTACACAAGAAATGGACACATAGTAACCGTGTGGGGATTCGAACCCTGGTCTTCAGCATGACGAGCGAACGCTTCAACCACTAGACTCACCCGTCAATCTGTGAGATTGTGATATCGATCGATCTACAGTCATCCCTTTATGTATGACGCTACTGTCATCTCTGCATTAACGCCTGATTTACAGGGTGATGGGTACCCTAGTAGTTCAAACGTTTACATGTCACGCCTCAGATCCCGGGTTCGATCCCCTATTTGGATAAACTTTGTGAAATGTTCTTATCTCCCGTTGTGATACGACAGGAACAGTGCGAAAATCCTTATCATTATTAGTCTTCGTTGTTGCTGCCATCCTCCTCCTCCTCCTCCTCATTAATATTTTCTATTTTCATCAGTATTATTACCGAAAGTATATTTAATAAAAAACATAAACTACCAATGGTATTTCCGACATTTAGTGGTTTGTGTTAACTAAATCCGGGGTACAATGTGTGAAGCCCATTTCTGCTGTCCCTTGCCCTGCTATTGCTGGGATATTGCTAAATGCGGCGTAAAACCATATTCACTCACATTGACAACTGAAAAGTTGCTTCATAACATTATATAACCCAGTATCCATTTCAATACGTCCTTCGATTGTCTTAACGTCATAGCTGCTGTCATGTCAATTACATCCCAACAATCCAACCATGGTGTTAAACAATAGATATGTTCACGTCAATGAATATGTTTACATCCTGACACACCATGTTATTATTGAACAAAGAATATCAAATACCACACACTTTGAAGCCGGGTGTTTAAAAAATACATATCGATCCTGGCAGGAAGTGTCAATTCGTGATCAATTTGTCTCTTTGTCACTTGTCAATATGTCACTGTTTCATATCACCTGGACATTGATTTTCACACAGTGACACATTGGCTTCTTTGCGTTGATATCAACGACACTCCATCAATGCATCAATTCCACCAAGTGCATCACACCAATCTTGAAATACCAGAAACGCTGCCTATCGATGTCTTTCATGGTTTCAGTCATGATGACTCGGTGCTAAAGGAGACATGGTTCAGGTTAACGTGCAATACCAACAGCTCTGATTCAATTCAATTACAACTTAATTCCTTTGTCGCATAATTAAAATTTAATAATGTATATTAATTAAGCAAGACTGTGGATTTTATAGCACAAGGTCAGTGTCTCAATCGGGCACAAGACAAGGAACTCTCTACAACGTTTGGCTTGAATGGAAACAACACTGGTTGTGGAGCATCGTCACGCTAAATGAAACGTTGCCTGTAACACTCTGAGTAAAACTGCATCATTCTATTTTGGACAGACCGTCAGCTAATGTATGCTAGGGCCTTTCATTGTAATCCTGGAGAGACAAAGATCGAACTAAATATAAAGAGTTTTGTAAATGTCGAGTAGCATATGTCCTTTTATCTGGCTGTTGATAAGATTGACATTATTTTTATGTCATTAAACATACCACATTATAACCTAGTCATTCCGGACGTAGAAGAGTTTTCGAAATAACGCGTTCAAGTTTATCTAACTAGTTGTAAGGATAACCTGTGTTGAATTGTGTTTTTCTGCAATATACACGTTTATTCCTAAATGGACAACAATCAATATACGGTCACGGCATCAAACACAACAAATATGATTTTAACGTAATGGCTGAATTTTTATAAAACGTAACAGATACTCCGTTCCATAACTATTTATGATGCAGCTATTTAGTTTTCTCTTTCAACTACACGAACTCAAATTAAGGTGAGATTGATATGATGCATTGCGTACCATGCTGAAATGTTATAGGGTTGAAAGTAAGACGACTCAACAAATTTCTAGAAAACATCACTTCATTTGGTTTATTAAGCACCAATAGCACACCATATTGCATCGCACCATAAGGCAATAAGCCTCGTATATATAAAACTCTTTAAACGAATAAAAGTATATAACTTAATATACGTGGTAATTAAGTAGTACAAAATAAATACAAAGGTCCATTTCAAATGTGACAATACAAATTACAAAAAACAATATGTATACCTTCGTACAAAGTCTTGATCGCCAATAGATCAATCCAAATAGATATATCCTGATATACTTAGGCACAGCAGTTAATGTCCGGTTAACGTCACTCGGCCATTAGACACAATGTCAATGTGTCGACGGAGAACGATTGCGTTCATGATGGCATGTCACTGGTGTGGAAAAAATTCACAAATGTCAATTTCACATTTCCATGTCAATTTCACACATTTCGAATGTCATTTCAGGTTGTAAGTGGCACATATTTCACATCGTCACAAACCCATTGTCATTGTCACTGTAGTCCTGGAAAAAGTCATACGTGTAAACATCGGGGTTTTGATGTTTATGCGGACTAGAAGGAATCACAGACAGCACGTGGGACGCCCACCCCCCGGGATCTGACCCGAGGGGATCAGACATCCGATGGAGGGGGTCAGGATGGTGGTGAAGGGGGTGGGGCGATAATGCTGGGCGCCTGTGGGACGGGGAGAGGGGTTCACACTTCACCTGGGCTATTCTTCTACACTCCGATGTCAATTGCTGCATCATGTTACTGGTCACGTGACCCGCCCCTGTCCCAATAGACTTACCCCCCGGAGTTTCAACCATCTTCAAAGTCTCCGTTAAAGCCCATATATAGTTATGAGCAAGCCGTAGAGTCTCAATTTTAGTCAGTTTGGCATCGTCCGGAAACGTTGGAAGTGTTTTTCTCAGCGAGTCCAGCGCGGAGTTCAAATTATGCATCCGCGACCGTTCACGATCGTTAGCTTTAACCCGCCGGTTTTTTTTCAGTTTCATCACCAGTCCCGGGCTTCTGTTCCGCGCTCTGGATTTACTATACCTCTTCTTTTTCTTAGGAGCATCCCCGTCATCATTTTTAGACTCGGGTGACGTGTCATCCATGGGTTCACAGGTTGTCATGCTATCATCGGAAGCTTCTGTTAAAAATCCGCCAATAAAAGTTATAGGTGAATCGCTACTGTCATCCGAGCCCAGTGTATCTATGGGAGGGTCTAAAGCCCGATCACCCCCAGTACCCCTGGCACTCTCCCCTATGCTACTAGTGTCACTCATTACTAATTGTGGAGCCGTCACACACGAACCTTACGAGATCATTTCCCCCAGTCGAGTTTCCATCCTTATTTATAGTGCCACCCTTTACGCTGCAACCTTCGTTCATTCAGTCGTTAACACAATGGGGCGTCTCCGTGTCAGAGAGCTTCCCATCCCACCAACCACGGCCAAGTCCGTATGCGCACAAACCCACTGCGCATGGCTCTCGTTTCTTGGATTAATGTTCTCTTGATTAGCAAGATTCATACTTGGCTGTGCCCCGGTCTCGGAGCTGTCACTGGAAACTAGAAATACATTCTTGTATAAATTAACATTTTATATGACTCCCCGGCTCCATGACAACCGATGGTGGGCGGGTTTGCTAAAGAGATAGCGTATGCACATGTTCAGCCAAGTGATGAAGTATAATTTACTCCACAACGGTTTAGAAATCGGCTACAGTTATATCTTTATGGAAACAATCAACACAGTTTACACCAATCTCAATTTAGCGTTAAAACTGGAAATCTTTTAACCGTTTCAATATCGTTAAACTTATTAACACATTAACAAGACGAATGGATTTTTTATATAATAAAAGACTACGAAGGTACGAGGAATGAGATTGGTTATTTAATGGGTTGAATAGTCAAATAATTGTCACGGACGACTGTTGCCGTTTCGTGTGTTTTCTGGTGTGAAGCTTTTTCAGCCAATCACTGAATTGCCATTGTTTTTATACCTGTGCGTTTTGAAGCGCACCGCGGACCCGTCAGTTGTTTGGCTGTAACGCTAGATGCTTAACAAAACGCTGGAAAGGTATATTGCCATGCTTGACGTGCAGCACCCCGTATGGAAGAGAGGAAGAACTTCTTTTCTCACAAAACAAATGACCTCTGTATCAGTCTAGCATCATTAAACTAGCCCTAACTCTACACAGTAAAACGAAGAGAACCTGTTGTATAAAGAAATTAAAACCTCTCCTCGAAAACAATAAATATGATTTAAAACACTTAAAAAACTATGTACTGTTTATAAGGCGCCATTGTATTGAATGAATAAAGGATTTTTTGTCATTGTTTGTTTAAACAATAAAAGTGGTTATAGATCTCTGCATATTTATAAAAAAAATAATCGATTACACCTCATATTAGATTAGGATTGATTCTGTTATCCTTGTGACTGCGCGCTCTTTAATATAGGACTGTACCTCAATGGCGGCACCTGTTTTCGCGGATACTAACAAAGAAAACACTCACTTTGTAAATAACATGCAATAAATATTTCACATTTATAAAGACCCATAAGAAAACGTGCTAAATTGGGGAAGTGGAGCTACTAATTGAAATTCATCCCAATTTCACGAGGAGACAGATAAAAAAAAGCGCGCGCTTCAGTCGCCCAACAAGAGCATAATGGACCCCTGTTTGCGTGCAGCCGACTGCGGCATTGTTTACACAAATGCGCATGCGTGAGATCTAGAAAGAGCGCGCAGTTTCAAACTTTCTAAAACTTTCCGCAAGGCTCCAGCTCAACTGGAAAACTTGCTTGGCGTTGGATTTTGTGTAATTATACGAACGTGTTGCGTGTGGGTACCCCCTGAGAAAGGGTTTTCTGGGATATTTAGGACCAGTTAAGCACTTTTATTGACTTTCTGCCTGAGTTCAACGCCTGGCACTCTGCATTTGGCCAAAACAAACGGCGCGGTGAGCGTTGTGGAGCGACTATAATACCCCACCTGGTATATTCAATTTACTCTAGCACTAATAAACACCCTGCTTTCATGTCTATTAAATTCTATACTTAATTGGCGGTACTTTGGCCGCATTAATCATTGATTTGGCGGAGGGTGGCGTGGTGGAGTTTTCACCTGTCCCGTCATATTCAAGCGTATTGTTCGGAGAGCGCGTGTTCCACACAAAATTACTGCAAGACGATAATTTTACCATACTCGCTGGCAGCTATTTTGGCTGCTTATTTACAATTCATCAAGTAACTGTCTGTGATAAAAATCAAGCAGTTAGTTTTTCTAACGAGCATCACGTGCAACACATAATGGTGACATTTTTGCAGGCTTTGGAGGGGCCTGTCGGTGCACATTGAAAGCTTGGTAGCTGCAGGTCGTGAGGGTAGATTGGAGTGGTTCTCTGCACCTTGAGTCGGTTTGGGTTCGGGAGATAGTTCTTCCATCTGCCGAGTCCGGGGGCCCACACTTTCTCACTCACTTCAAGACAAAGGAGTTGGAAAAAAGTCCACGAAATGTGTGCGAGGGACACGCGCCATCTCTGTGGGCTTGTTTTCTCGCCCAGAACGTTCTCAGACAAAGTAGGATAGAGGCCTATGGTACTCGATGCTACCTCTACCTCCAACGCACCGCACGTCGCTCCTAGCTCTCGTCCTGGTTTCATTAAGTCCATATGTCGTGCTGCCGAACGTTTCAGTCTGCAGATTTGCCTTCTTGCCGAGAAAATTAATTGAAATTAAGTGTGGCACAGAGAAAAAAGAACAAGAAGTGGGGTTTAGCTTGTCGCTCAAAAATGACACCATGTATTTGCTCATAATCAACTTAAAGTCAGCTCGCAACAAAAAACGAAAATTCAGATTTAATTGAAAAACTTTCTTGTTTGAGTCAGTAGCTGGGTTTCAGATCCTAGTGTGGTATTGAAAGGCGATTGAAACAGCGAAATGAGGCACTTCAAATGACTAGCAGGCCTTTATTCGGTCAGCTATCAAAAGCCACTTATATCCAACTTTATTGGAAATTTTTAACGAGTGAAAGTTCAATATTGGCAAAACAAAAGTTTCCTACGAAGGCACCTGTGTGTAAAATGGTCAATGAACTCACGAGAATGCAAACAAACTTAAAACATCATAAAGTCAAAGTTTGAATGTTATAAAAGGTGAATATGTTCACAAAAGTATCCCAAATAAGCCAGCTCTGGGAGAAAAGGTGAAATAACGGTAAATCCTTTGTGAAGAGAGAAAACCCAGTTCAAGAACGGTAACCTGCTTGTCGTCACGAACTTAAGCGGACAACTGCCCACGACGATTAACTTAAGTGGAAACAGCGACATTCAACAGGTGATAGCCTCACGCACCAAACAATAACTCGCCAACATGGTACGTGGCTTGGCCGGTCACAGACAGCGACCACTGTCTTCTGATTGGACGAGAAAAGGTAAAGTCGTTCATGTCAACCAATCAGATGTCCAGATGGCATTCAGCGCACGGGGGGTCAGCCGTTGTGATGGCGAGGTGACAGAGTCGAGAGGATTGGTAAATGAACCAACCGATTATTTCGGTATTGTCTTTATGTCTACTGATAATTGTAATCTCAGCCTTCTGTGCCGTGGACATATGGTGCGAAATGAAGGAGCTAAGGATATGTAAATATCCCAGCAGCTTAATTCATTTCTAACGTCCTCTGTTCTCGTATGGTGACGCCATCTCCATTAAACCTCCGATATACCAACGACACCTTTCAAACATAAAACATATGATCTTAATAAAAAGTATTTAATGAGTTTCATTGTTATATGGATACATTCTATCTCATTTGATACAGGTGTCTTTTGTTTGGTTAAATATCCATATCCTGGCATGTAAATATTATTATATGACATGATGGAACCCTTGTGTGATAAAGTGAGACTTTACTCACTCGTTTGATAACGATCAGCGTTCGATGTAGATGGCACTTGAATATTCATTAAGTCACATTTTACCAGTGATGCTTATAGAGGTAACTGAATTAACATTTCTGAACTCCCCATTCAATGCAAGGCCAATCACTGCAACAGCTTGTGTCATAGAATGGAACTTCAGAAAGATGTTTTATGCTTTATGTACTGTTTATTGATAGATAAGGGGAGATAACTCTAATTCGTAATGCTATCTGGCACATCTTCATGTATGTTTCGCGATGGTATACGTGATGATGGTGGGTGGTGGTGTTGTCAGGGAAGATGCTGCTACACAACTCATCGGGACTACACTCATGCAGCAAATACCGTTGTTGATGTTTCACTCTGCTATATACAATTGTATACCTCTAATACCTTCCATGTGTTGGGGCTTTTCTGCTCTTGGTAATGCTACTTCAACTACTTTTGCTGCTACTGATCCTGCTACTACTATTGCTTCTGCTCCTCCTCCTGCTACTAATGCTACTGCTACTACCACTGATGCTACTGTTGCTTCTACTGATGTTGCTACTACTATTGCTACTACTGATACCACTACTACGGTTACTACTACCGCTGCTGTTGCTACTACTGCTATCTTTGACAATCGCTGCTACTACTTCTTCTGCTACTGAAACAACTACTGCTGATGCTACTACCGCTGCTACTACTACTGCTACTGAAACTGCCACTACGTCTGTCATTCACACTATTGTTACTGCTGCTGATATTGCTGCCAACTACTACTTCTTCTACTAATACTAATACTACTCCTACTACTACTACTACTGCTGCTGCTACTACTACTGCTGCTACTTCTACTACTCCTACTACTGCTGCTACTACTGCTGCTCCTACTGCTGCTACTACTCTTGCTACTACAACTACTACTCCTACTACTGCTGCTACTACTACTACAGCTGCTGCTACTGCTACTGCTGCTACTTTTACTACTGCTACTACTACTACTACTACTACTCCTACTACTACTACTGCTGCTACTTCCACTACTGCTACTACTGCTACTACTACTGCTATTACTGCTACTACTACTCCTACTACTGCTGCTACTACAATTACTGCTGCTGCTACTGCTGCTACTACTACTACTACTACTACTCCCACTACTGCTACTACTGCCACTACTACTCACTACTACTGCTACTTACTGCTGCTGCTGCGGCTGCTTCTACTACTGCTACTACTTCTACTCCTACAACTGCTTCTACTACTACTGCTGCTACCACTACTGCTGCTACTACTACTACTGCTACTACTACTACTACTACTACTCCTACTACTGCTGCTACTACTACTACTACTGCTGCTACTACTACTACTGCTACTACTACTACTACTGCTGCTGCTACTACTACTACTACTGCTGCTGCTGCTACTGCTGCTACTGCTACTACTGCTACTACTGTT